GGAGGAAGGAAGGAAGGAAGGAAGGAAGGAAGGAAGGAAGGAAGGAAGGAAGGAAGGAAGGAAGGAAATGATGGGTAAGAGAGGGTATCAAGGCACGGGGGTACAGGATATACCAGACTGAGGAAAATATAAGCTATGGACACCTGAGTGTTTGTGGTCCATGTTCTGTACCTTTGCTGAATATGTGAAACTTTCTCTGAAGGAATGGTTGTAGAAGCAAGTTATGGCTCTGTACTGCATATTTCAGGAATGGCCAGTTTGTGAGGCTCTGGGTCCTAGTCTCTTTTTCTTTCTTTTCTTTTTCTTTTGAGACAGGGTCTCATGTAGCCCAGGTTGACCTCTAACTCACTATGTAACCTAGGATAATCTTGAACTTCTGATTCTCTTGCCTCCACGTCCTGAGTTCGGGGATTACAGGCATGTACCACCACATCTGGTTTCTGCAGTGTTGGGGATCAAACCCAGGGCTTTGTGCATGCTGGGAAAGCATTCTACCCACTGGGCTACATCCATAGCTGCCAGAGAGGGGGTGAGAGCAACTGTCTATCCATCCAAAAGGACAGTCTTTACTCCTTGAATGTAGTAGAAGACAAAGATGTCCTTGAGTGGCAGAAAAAGAGATCCTGGCTTTTTCTGTCTTCAGAGTAGGAACTCCCCAGGGCCAGTGGCCAGTTGCAGAGAGAAGTTGGTCTCCTTTGTTAGATGCCAGATGGTGGTGGGGTTGGAAGATGAGCTAAGGAAGAGGGTGCTGCCAAGCCCCAGAACCCCAAAAGTGCTGTAGACAGAGCAGAGCTGTAGATCTCAGCTCCCTTCTTACCTTGCTGGGTGGGTGTGGGTGTGGCCCCCAGGGAAGGCAGAGAGGGGACTTCCACAGCAGTTCCCCCTTCCTCTGGGGGTGCTGACTCAGCCCACTCTGTCACCCCTCCTCTGGGCAGGCCCCTGCTTGCCTCCTGCCCTAGCTAGGAGGCCAGAGTATAAGCAGTTCCTGAAGGGGAGCTGTCTGCCTTCCCTGGATCCAAGGACCCCTAAGTCCCTTGATTTGCTGCCTGGACAATTTTTCCTTCCCAGAGAGTTGGACCAGCAGGAAGGCCCAAACACGGGGCCCTGCTCTAGGGAAGTTGAGGGCTGAGCAAGAGCTGTCTGTTGGATGGTGGTAG